TGTGTGTGTGTGTGTGTGTCTGTGTGTCTGTGTGTGTCTGAGTGTCTGTGTGTCTGTGTCCCCTTCCAATGGGCTCTAGAGAATGGGTCTCCAGGACAAGGAGAGCCCTCTCTGGTGAGTCAAGGCTCAGCTAGACACAGTGGCTGTTCTGTTCACCAAAGCTAGGGTAGGGAAGTGCCCATGCTGAAAGCTCTTCCCACTGAGGCTCTGGGTCTGTGGGACCCACGGTAGTCAATGATCTTAACCTGCCACCCATGAGGAGCAGGGGGACCAGGGTGGGAGTTAGGTATCTCCAGCTTAGATAACAGATGACTTCTGGGTACAGCCCAGCACAGAGCCCTCTATGCATACCTGGCATGGACAGAGCCATACCCCAGATAAGCCTGCAGGAGGACAGCTGAGGAGAGAGGCCTCAGTCCCTCTTACCTCGGGCAGTGGGTGGCCGGCTTCTCAAAGGGGCAGAGCTGTGCGACTGTGGTGTGGCAGTCCACACCCTTCTCTGAGAACAGGAGACAAAGTGTCAGGTCATGGCTCATGGGTCAACAGAGTGGAGACAGCCCCACAGCCCAGTGTGTCTGCAGGTGAATACATCTCTGTTGGTCTCTCTATGAGAGTCTCATGCTTGCCATCTGAACACTGATGCTTGCTTTTGAAACATGTCCCCTGCTGTCATCTTTTACTATCCCAGGTGTGATTCTGTGTCTACTCGTGGAGAAGTTTGATGATCCCAGTGGCCAAAATGGCCCGATCGCTAGCTCCTGCCTCAGTTTCTCATCTCCCCAGCGTCTATCCCTTCCAGGATGGTGATTCCACCCATCAAGGCCTTTAAACAGCAGCCCTGGCACTGACCATGTCTATGGTATTCAGATGGCAGCCATGCCCCCGAGTCTCTGGCCATTTACAACCAGAGATATGCTTAGAAACCAGTGAGAGAACAAGTGGATAGTAGAGGCTAAAGCAGGCAGATCTCTGAATTCCAGGTCAGCCTGGTCTACAGAGTGAGTGCCAGGACAGCCAGGGTTACACAGAGAAACTCTAAGAAAAGAAAGGAAGAAAGAAAGAAAAGAAGGAAGGAAGGAAAGAAGGAAATAATAACAGTGAGAGACATGGCCTCTCCTGATAGCCTTTCTTAGAAACATTGGCCTCAGGCTGAAATGATAACTACAAAGAAAGGGAGATTTCCTGGGAAATCCCAGAGCCCGGTGCATTACTTTACTCCCTCGAGGCCTGGCTTGCTTACCTTTCACTTTTGACACCGTGAAGGAGCTGGAAGGCTTGTATTTGCTGGAAAGGAAAACACGAGTCAGAGCACACTGAGTCCTCCTAACAGTCTGTGTGCTTCACACTGCTCTGCCTGAAGCATGGGAACTGAAAAGCTTAGACTATTCTAGAATGGGACTGCATAAACTTTTGTCGCCAAGGACTCTTCCAGCAGCCTGGGGAATCCCCCACCCCCCCTTTTTTTTTCTTTTTGGTTTTTCAAGACAGGGTTTCTCTGTGTAGCCCTGACTGTTTCTGGCACCAGCTCTGTAGGCTGGCCTCAAACTTACAGAGATCCTCCTGCCTCTGCCTCCCAAGTGCTGTAATTAAAAGTGTGCAACACCACTGCCCAGCCAGAACCTTTCTTAGACTAATACATTTCTGTTTTTGGTTTCTTGATATATGTTCCAGCAGTGTTGGAACTCACTGTATTGTGGGCTAGCCTCAGATTCATGGTGATCCTGCTTCAGACAGAATAAAGGTTTTTAAATGCATAAGGTAAAGCAGGGCCAGGGATTAGAGGCTAGAGGAAGTAAGATCCAGAACATAACCAGGTGGCCCAATTCTTGGAGACCTCTGACTGGATCAGCTGGCTGGTGGCCCACAGGAGTTAGTCAGCTGTGCCACGTGGGTTGTCTTTTGTTTTCCTGTTTCCTTAGATACTTCTCAGAGTCTCAGTAATACATGGGGTGAGGGATTGTATGCTTGGGTGTGCACATGCAAGTGTGTGAACATGTGTGTGAAGGCCAGAGATCAGCCTCAGGCTCCATCCACATTTGGGGGGCAAGGGACAGAGCCTCTTGCTGGCCTGAAATTCAGCAGGTAGGCTAGGCTGCCACTAAGCTCTGGGGACCCTCCTTCTCTGCCTCCCCAGTGCCAGGATTACAATACATGCCCACACAGGGCTCAAACTCAGGTCCTTGTATTTGCAAGGCAAGCACTTTTAACAACTGAGCCGTCTCCCAGCCCTCAAAATTGCTTTTACAATAAAAGAACACTGTCAGTACCCCCCCACCCCCACACACACACATACATGACAGGTACCTCAGGGACTCCACACCATTTTTTGGGGATTTGACAAAGAAGGGTACCATCCCATTCCTGGTGACATCCACTAGGCCACCTCGATCATCAATGACACCATAGTGGAGAGCAGCCCGGCATATGCTGGAAGACTACAGAGCACAAAAGAGACCACAATGTACAGAGTTCCTCTCCCAGAACCATCTGAGGCACTTGTCCCTGGCCAACCAAATGCCAAAAAGTTGGACCAAAACACACCCCACCCAGCCCTTCACTGCCGTCCTTAGCCCAACCTTTGCTCCTGGATGGCTTAAGAGGTTATCCTAGCTGCTTAAGCCCTTTTAGCCAAGCATGTTGACCCCAGTGCCGCAGCAACATTCAGTCCTGGTTCCCAGAAGCGGCTTCAGGGGCTTTAGCGCCACTAGTCCATGTGGATCAGTCCATTCAGGTTGAGCCAGGACAGAACACCAGTCTCTATAAATCTCATTTCCTTTAAGCTACTTGGTGGGGTTTTGCACGTGCCGGGTACAGAAATACTGCCCATACTCACACTTTCATAAAACAGAGATCCAAAAACCTTCGCCTTATTGTTCAGACAGCCTGCCGGGCACTGGTACCTGATGGGTAAATAAAGCAAAGCTCATTGGTGAAATTGCCCAGTGACGTTGCCATGTTTCCTTGCTAGCTTTCTTATTGAATTCAGAAATGTCACCACTGTGAACAATTATGTGTGTTTCTGTGTGTATGTGTGGGTGCCTGCAGATGTCAGAAGAGCTGTTTAGATAGATTGGAGAGGAAGCTAAAGGTGTTTGTAAGTCATCAGTGTAAGTGCTAGGGTTCAAAGTCTAGCCTCCATGTAGAGAAGCCATTCTTAACTGCTGAGCCATCTCTCTAGCCCATTTGTCTTGAGACTGAGTCTTACTTTGTGGCCCAGGCTGGCTTGGAACTTATTATGTAGTTAAGACTGGCCTCAAATACTTGACGATCCTCCTGCCTTTGCTCCTCAGTGTTAGTGTGACAGGTGTACACTATCCTGTCTGTGTGTGTGTGTGTGTGTGTGTGTGTGTGTACATATGTGGTACAGTGGCCAAAGGCCAATGTTGGATATCTCCCTTGATTGCTCTCCACCTTATTTTTTGAGACAAGTTTCTCTTTAAACCTGGGGCTCACCCGTTAGATAGGCAGACTAGCTGGTAAATCCTTGGGGTCCCCCATCCGTGCTTCCTCCCTCCAGCCTTCGGGTTATAGACCCACACCCAGCTTTTTTATGGATGCTAAAACTCTGATTCTCACACTTGCACAACAAGTCTTTACCTGTGTTGAGCTGTCTCCCAAGCCCAAGGATTGTTGTTTAATGAGGTTAACAGAACAATGAGGCCCCTGTTCACCACAGACCAAAAACTAACCTATAGGAAAGCCTCCAAGTTCGTGTCCACAGACCCTCCAACTTCCCTTGTAAAAATGTACATGGCCGGGTGTTGGTGGCGCACGCCTTTAATCCCAGCACTGGGGGGGGGGGGGCAGAAGCAGGCAGATCTCTGTGAGTTCGAGACCACCCTGGTCTACAAGAGCTAGTTCCAGGACAGCCTCCAAAGCCACAGAGAAACCCTGTCTCAAAAAACAAAACCAAAAACCAAAAACAAAACAAAACAAAAAGTAAATATGTACATGCCCAGTAAAAAATCAGCAAGTTCGAAGGGTGGTGGGCTGCATACCTTTAATCCCAGCACTGGGGAGGCAGGGACAGGTGGATCTCTGTGAGTTCCAGGCCAGCCTGATCTACAGAATGAGTTCCAGAACACTACACAGTGAAATTCTGTCTTGAAAAACAAACAACAACAAAGTCAACAAGTTATCCAACTGTGCATAAAGTGTACTGGGACTAGACACATGGCAGCAGGTGACAGAGGCACAGCCAAATGTAACTTTGTGTCACCATATGTCAGTTTGTTGCAAAGCTACAAAAAAAAAAAAAAAAAAAAAAAAAAAAAAAAAAAAAAAACCAAACAAACAAAAAAACGAAGGGTCTGAGGAATACTGGTGGACTTTCAACAATGACCAGTGAACGCATGAGCAGGACTGGCCTCAGCTACCTGGATAAAGAAGGGGGGCATGCCAAGCTGAGGGGGTTTGGGGATGCTTGGCTTGGGTTTTTTTTATACATTATACAATGAATTAAAATACCTTTAAAGTGGGGTGGGGGTGTTGTGGGGAAGCCTAGTGAATGTTACTTCTACAGTGAGCTGGGCTGCCATTGTTTGTGGTACCCTGGCTGACTGGAGGCCTCTGTAGCCTCTGTAGACAAACCCACAGCTTCTTCCTGTCCAGGGAATGCCATCTCACCGGCTGAGCTTAGACGGCTCCAGAGCTCTCATGAGATGTGGTCCAGGCATACTACCCTGTTTACCCAGTGCAGACGGCAAATGCTGCCTTGGGTTTGGGTGTGGTTATTCCACCACATCTGGCTTCTGTCACTAACACTCAGTGGTTTCCTCCCACAGGACAGTACTGCAGAGGCTTCCATAGCTGAGCAGGGCACCCAATGGGTGTACCCCTGGGACAGCCACATCCTGGCTACTGTTTCATGTTACTCCTTGTGTGAGTGAAGGACTCTCCCACAGAATGGACTCCAGGTCCATTGGGTCATATGGAGAGCCACCTTCTTCCAACGGGTGCTTCAAATATCTCCTCTCAGCTCTTGATAGACTCAAACTGTGCTAGCATGCTGGCAAGAAGCCTTAAGTGACACTCTCTCAACACTCTTTAAGTCACACTCTCTCAACACTCCATTATCTGAGGCTAACACCCCTTGGGGAACAGGTCTCTTGTTCTGCCTAGGGAGGGCATCCTGCTGCACCCTTAGAGACTGCAGCTGCTGACTAAACCTCAGGGAGCTTGAAACCAGCTCCAAGGGCAGGATGCACACGAAGGGGTCAGCTACAAACTGAAGTGAGCAATGGTTTGCCAGCCCCTATCTGGGTTGAGAAACACCAGTTACAATGAGAGGTTTCCTGTCTACTACTCCCATAATACACTTCATGGGGGACCTACACACACACATACCCACAGGGTGTAGCCATCTCTGGACCATAGACAAAGCACTTGGCAGTAATGTGTGCCCAGTGCCCATTAGGATACACTGGTTATTTGAGGATGCTATCCCCAGTTTTGGTTGTCCCCACTGGCATTTGATAGAGATCAAGGTCTTGGAGATTGCCCAAAATTCCCTAATATACAAGGTATCCCACCTCAGTGTCTCATGTACCCTAGGAATGACAGCTGAGTAAGTCTGATGACATGTAACAGAGATAGATCATTCGTCAGCCAAGTGCTCAATCGAAGGTGGTGGTCAGGTGTGACAGTGGGTGTCATGGTTGGGGGATGGGACAAAGGAGTGTCAAGCTCAGTCTAATTAGTACATGGAGCACATGGTACAGTCTGGTGTGCATTGTGCTAGCAGTAAAAGTGCCATTGACTCACATGTTTCCAGGAGGCTCAGAGAAGGAAGCAAGCAGATCATGTGACGGACGTGTGTCACCCCAGCCCCGCCCACCCCAGCCCAGCCCAGCCCAGCCCTGCCCAGCCGCACCCTCACCTGTTACAGGTGGATCCCTTGCATGTGTCCTTCATCTTGGTGTCACAGCGAACCACTTGGGCTAGGAGAGACATGGAGATGGGACTGTGAGACCAGGAGGGTGAATCTGGGTTAGAAGACCCCTCCCCCATTCCAAGAGACATGCTGGAATGTTCTGGAATCCATACCATAACCAGAGCAAGAGCTGTACCTCCTGGCTATGGGTTTCTGTAGGTGGCTTGAACAGCAGAAATAGACTTTATTTCTATTTCCTGTTTTTTTTTCTTGTCATTTTTTTAGCTTTTTTATTAATTTATTGTTTACATTCCAATCCAAGTTCCCCCTCCCTCCTCTGTTTTAAAGACAGGTTTTCACTATTAGCCTAGGCTGGCCTCAAACTTGAAATCCTCCTGTCTCAGCCTCCAGTATGCTGGGATGACAGGCCTCCATCACCATGCCCAGCTCCAGAGGAAGTTGTGACCTTTATACAAGTTATTTTCCACTGAGATCCAACTACTACCCTTAATCAGGTTGTTATGAGCACTAAATAAAAACCATGTGACCATGAAGGTTGCCATAACCTCACCTTGCTCTGAGAAGGCAAGGCTTACAAAGGGGAGGGATATACAAGGGGCATGGCTTGTGGGACGTGGAATATACACAGAGTGAGATTTATACAAGGGCTAGATGTCGGAGGTGTACTCATAGGCCACAGGGCTTGCGAGAGCCCTCATTCCAGCCTGTACACAAGGATCCTGGGGATTAGAAGCAATTCACACTGTTATCAAAGTGCAGGGAGCCATCCACTGATTCTGGGTGGCTCACTCACACTCCTGCAAGCCATCTCTGCAGTCAGCCTGTCATAGGTGTGGTCACTCCCTAGTATTGATGAGTAAATGGAGCCTTAAAGAGTTGAGAAAGGGCCTGATCTGAGAGTCAGAACCTGGGAAAGGATGTTTGAACCATCCCAGCACCAGCCTAGATGTACACACTGATTCCTGAGTGGCCAGTATATCCCAGAGAAGCCCAACTCCATGCCAGATTCCCTTTGAAAGACTCAGAGGAAATCTAAAATTAAACTATCTGCCTTGGAGTGGGGTGTGTAGCTCAGTGGGTACAGCATTTGCTTTGCATGCAGGAAGCCCTGGGCTATGTCCTAGGCACCGAGAACACTAGATGTGATGGATATGGAAGCAGAAGTATGAGGGGTTCTAGGTCATCCTTGGCTATACATCAAGTTCAAGCACAGCCTGGGCTCCATGAGACTCTGCCTTCAAACAAGCAAACACAACATTCTGCCTGGAGGAAAGCGCCGTCCCAGCAACCTCCTGTCAGGCTTGCTTCCATGACTTAAAAGTATCATTTTCGGGGCTGGAGAGATGGCTCAGAGGTTAAGAGCATCGACTGCTCTTCCAGAGGTCCTGAGTTCAATTCCCAGCAACCACATGGTAGCTCACAACCATCCGTTATAAGATCTGGTGCCCTCATCTGGTGTGCAGATATACATGGAAGCAGAATGTTGTATGCATAATAAATAAATAAAATCTTTAAAAAAAAGTATCATTTTCAAATAAGAATTGGGGTTGCACCCCAGCCAGCTCTGGCCCACATTCTCCCTGTTGCCGGATACCCAGTTCCCCTTCTCCACCAGCCCCTAGCTAAGGTGGCTGGGGGTGGGGATGGTGTCCCCGAGGCTGGGAACATCAACTCACTCATGAAGTTGATGGTTGGGGTCTTCTTGGGCTTCGAGGGTCTGACCACCCTGGGCTGAACCTCGGGAGCAGGGGGTGGTTCCACCTCGTTCATCTCATCCACCTCCGGTTTCTGACTGTAGGGCTCCTCTAAAGTAATAAGGGAAAAGAAAGAGAACATGTTGGATTCAACCAAAATGCTCTTTGGTTTTGTTTTGTTGTTAAGGCTGTGTAGACCAGGCTAGCCTCAAACTCAGAAATCTGCTTGCCTCTGCCTCCCACATGCTAGGATTAAAGGTTTGTTCAGCCTGAGCCATCTAAGATTTGGAAACTGCAGACTAAGCTCTGAGATTTGGCTTCACAAAGAGTCATTTCAACTAGCGAGAGGAGGTTACGCTGGGGAGAGGCCTGTCCAGGTGGAATTCTACCAGCCCAGAGAGAGGATGGAAGGTCAGCTCATTTCCATGTTTACTTTGGACCTCGGAGAATTAGCCCTGGGTGGAGGTGGAGTGTAGCACGCACACCTGGATGTCAGAATGGTCACTTGTCCCACCTCCTCTTCCATACAATCATCTGTCCCCGTCCCTAACCATAGCCTCAAAGCTGCAACTCTCTCCAAGGTCCCTCTGATTTCTGGTTTTGTTGGAGACACAGGGACAGAGACACACTTCTACCCCTAGTGACAGGGACTGCTCACCTGGCTCAAGCCATGGCTCAGCAATGGAGAGTTACTGTCTTAACACTGGACCTGGCTAGTGGCTCATGCCTGTAATCTCAGCATGCAGGGTAAAGCAGGAGGATTGCTTCAAGTTCAAGGCCAACGTGGCTATAAAGTGAGTAACATGACAATCTAGCCCACATTGTGAGATGCCCTAGTTGGCTTTCTATTCATGTGATAAATACCATGACCAAACATAACTTGGGGAGTAGAGGGTTTGTTTGACTTACAGATTACAGTTCAGTGAGGGAAGCCAAAGCCAGAACCTGGAGGCAGGAGCTGATGCAGGGACCATGGAGGAGGGCTGCTTACTGGCTTGCTCTGCATGGCTTGCTCAACCTTCTTTCTTATACAACTCAAGAACACCTGCTGAGGGGCGCTCCCACATCAATCACTAATCTAGAAAAATGCCCCCACAGGCATGCCTCCTGGCCAAGCTGACAGAGGCATTTTCTCAGTAGAGGCTCCCTCATCCCAGATGACACTAGCTTATGTCAAGCGGACAAAATAAATAGATAAATAAATAAATAAATAAATAAATATCCTAACCAGTACACTCTCTATTAAAAGGGCGGGACTTGTGGCACAGACCTGCAACCTTCACATTAGGGCTGAGGCAGGAGAATTGTGAGCTCAAGGCAGCCTGGACTACATAACCAGATCCTGTCTCAAAGAGCATTAGACCTGGTACATGGAAGTATGGGAAGCCCCAGCTCCTGGTTTAAAAGATTACGGTTTGCTCGGTGTCAATCTTTTTCCACCCCAGGGCATCATATGTTACTCCTCCATTACCATGCCCTCCCCTCCCCATGCCCCCACCCTGTTTCAAAGCACTTCACGCCTCTAAGCATCAGGTCACTAACCTCCATTCCCATTCAGAAGGACAATAAAGTGGGACTACCAGGACACCAAACTGACCTCCAGCCAAAGCAGAGCCTGAGGGTGAGCTGGGCCTCCTGTGCCACATTACCCCCAGGCGGCCCCACCAAGAGCCACAGTTCTCCACAAATGTCTGTATGGTAGAGCCAGGAAGCACCTTCCACACACCTCAAAGAAGGTACAGAAGCTCTCTGATGTCCAATAAACCCACACCTCCCTCACTACCCCTTCAAAGCTCAGCCCACCCACCTTAACCTTGCTCATTAACACTCCCAGAGGCCAGTGAGGGGAGTGAGTCCTCCGTCCCCCAAGCTAGCAGTCTCCTTCATGAGAAAACGTTATCTCCCGTGCAGAGTTGGACAATCAGTAAATGTACTTGGACCAAGACTATTTCAAGGAGGAAGACTGAAGCACCACAGGCCTCTGATTCCACAGAGGCCTATCATCCCCAAGGGCTACTGAGTGATGTCCCCTGCCACCATGACAGGTACCCAAACGAAGGGCCAACAAGTGAGGTGCCCCTGTCTTTCTAGGTGGAGCACTGGGCAGTGAGTGGGGGCTGATTCATCCCAGACTAGCCCTGGCCTGAGAGGAGAAGGGACAGGGAAGGCAGAGGTGAAAAGGCATGCTACCAGGAGCCCCAACTTCATGGCCCACCGTACCCCTCAACACCCCATTCACAGGACAAGCTCAACAAAATCCCAAGTGAACAAGTGACTCAAACCCTTGAAAGCCAAGGAAAAAGAACACCCACCAGCAAGGTCTGAGGTTCCCAAGGCTGGAATTCCCAAAGTATAGCAGCACCAAGTCTGGGCTGAACCTCCACAGAGCCCCTGAGCTGCACAGGCAGCCTCAATGCCTGTCCCATCAATGCAGCCATTCACAACCCGTCGTTGACAGCCAGGCTGTCTGGGAGTGAGCTGGGTTTCTTCCATTGGCTTTAGGATCTGATGACTCAAAAGGACAACTTTACTGAGAGAAATCTGGTTTGGAAGGGTCTGAGGTAATGCACCCTTTCAAAACAAGGGCAGGCAGTCCTAGCCCCCAGACCCACACATGAAAGCAGAAAGCTGAAAAACATGCACCCAATCCCCTCTGTGAGATGTGTGTCCCAAAGGGACTTAGGTACATCCTAATAACTATCCCTGTATAGACCAGGCTCTGTTCAATCCCAGGATATTCAACACATAGTCTGCTCCAAGCCAGGGTCTCAGGGCCCAGGGTATTGCCACCCCTACAGGTCCCCCTGGCTCTGTGACTAGTGCCATCTAAGCATTCAGGCCCTTACCCTCAATCCTCATCTTTCTGCCATAAGAGACATGGCAACCACTTAACATATGAGGAAACTGAGGCTCAGAGGGGCAAGGGGATGGAAAAGAGGCCCATTTTGGCTCACAAAGCTGGGACAGGGAGTTGGGTACCTCCCTGGCCTGTTATCCCCCACAGGGAGGTACCGGATAAAATGAAACTTCTATCCTTATCCTTAAATCCTTGTGTCCCCATTATAGGTCATGGCCTTAAGGGTGCCATGGCACACCCTTATTTAGTGGCTTATGTAGATAAGCTGAGTTAGGGGAGGTTTTCTGCATGGTTAGCTAAGAAAACGACAATGTCTGCCAAGCAAAGTTGGGTGTTTTCCACCACAAATAAAGGAATAAGTACATGGGCACCGTGGGATGGGTAAGCTCGTGTCTGGGGCCTCTGTGTGCTCTGACTTCTTGAAAGAGCCCTCTGTGGAGGAGAGGGTCTGTTTATTCACCAGCACGCAGGGCACACCTGCCCAGGGCCCTGGAGTGCACCAGCAGCTGTAATAACAGGGTAACCAAGTTCCCGAGGAGTTTGGAGGTCATGAGAACATGGTGGCAGGTGTATGTCTGTTTGACATCTAGACTCCCTGAAGATGGGGACATCAGACTTGACTCCAGGCAAAAGCTGTCACAGTGACGGCACAAGGCAGTTCATGTCCCATACCCCCAGGAGTTTCAATTGTCCTTGCTTCTGTTCCTGGTATCTGTCCCTGCTTCTATCTCTGGTATTGTCCCTCATATCAGCTAGCTGGAGTGGGAAAGAGCTTGGCCTTCTATGAACTAGGACCTTTGCTATTTCACATCCCAGAGCCCCACAGACTGACCCGGTGTCCATCCAAGGACAGTACAGGCAAGAGGGTAACCACTGCATACCCACCCTCCCCTGCAGCAGAGCCTGCTCACCCCCTACCCTGTCAGCCCTGGCCAGCTGTTAGTGTCATACAGAACATAAATCTCAGCCACAGACATCTGCTCAACTGGGGATCGCCCCCCCCCCCACTTCTGAGATACAACTTCTGAGAGACAGAACTATTCCAGAATGCTGAGACAGTGTTAAGTGTGAGAACATATGGTGTTTTTGGTGGGGGGAAAATGGATGCTTTCTAAGCAGCCCTGTGTGAGCCAACAGTCACAGGCAGAAAGCAGCCATTCCCCCTGACAGCCTTAACAGCAGTCACTCTCAAGAAGATAAAGGACAAGGGCACCAGTGCCTGCGACTGATTGGGCAAAACACAAACCGCTTGCTTTGCATTTCATGTTAATCACCTGGATTTTGCTGGATGATGACGAAGCACGCCTTTAATTCCAACACTCAGGAGGCAGAAGCAGGCAGATCTCTGTGAGTTCAAGGCCAGCCTGTTCTACAGAGTGAGTTCCAGGACAGCCAGGGCTACACAAAGAAACCCTGTCTTGAAAAACAACAAACAAACAAAAACCTGATTTTTTTTTTTTTGTGTGTGTGTGTGTAGGTTTGTTGTGGAGAGATTCCAGGAGGTAAAATAGAGTTGCTATGTAGTCTAGGCCAATCTCAAATTTGTGGCAATCCTTCTGCCTCAGCTACCCAACTGCTGGGATGACAGGTATGAGCCACCACCTCTGACTTACAACCCTCTGTCTTAAGTAGACACACTAAAGAAGGTGAGGAGGGAGTCTGGGCTATGTACACTGTGGCCAGGCCATGAAGCCACCTTGGGGAGAGGGGACATCTCAGTACAGCGGGGTCTGCAGGTGGCAGGGGCCAAGTACAGAGAGTAGAGGGACACAGACCTAAAGGGTGGCAGGGGTGGCTACAGGGGTGAGTCTGGAACTGACTTTCATTTCCATTTCAGCCTTCACCACCTGTGGCTCAGAGGGCTGGAAGCCACACCAGGGCTGGGACCCTCACACCACCTACCTCGGTAACATAGGTTGTTCCTGCAGCCACCTCCATAGCTGGGCGGGCATTCAGAGCAGGGACGGCCATGCTTGTAGGGGGCCTCACCAATCCAGTTTCCCCTGGAGACAGACCAGAAACACTATGAACCCCATCCTTTAGGCCCAAGGGGAAACCTCAAACAGAGTCCCTAATGTTGGGAGAACACCGTCCTGGTACAGGAAAAGTAGCCTCCCCCTCCAGTTCCAGTCATCCAGGGAACTCTGGGCACAATGATGAGACTGTCGCCACTGAGCACTGTGTGAGGAATGGCTCCCTGGGTGACATATGCAGCCCCAGACCTATCTGAGCAACCTCAGACAGTGTCCCCTCCCCTGAGCCATGGTTCATTAACCATACAGTGGGTAGCCACCAGGATAATCCTTGGGAAAGACTCTTGATAGTGTCTATAAAGCAAAGAGGGTGATCCTTGGTTGATTTCTAGGGAGGCAGGGCTCCTGCCAGAGCCACTGAGAGACCTCACAGACTCTTCTATGCATCCTGTAGCCCACTCCAATGGCCAAAGAGTGATGACATCATTGAGCCACAGAGGGGGGTATCCACACTAGGGAAGGGGTCTTGCCTCCTCTTCTGCTACTACCACAGTACACCTCCCCCACAGACCCACCTGGACGGTCAAGACAACCTCTGGGCATTGGTGTGGACCCCACTGTTCTTTTTGTTGTTGTTGTTCTGTTTTGTTTTCTTTTTGTTTTTCAAGACAGGGTTTCTCTGTGTAGCTTTGGAGTCTATCCTGGCACTCCCTCTGTAGACCAGGCTGGCCTTGAACTCACAGAGATCTGCCTGCCTCTGCCTCCCAAGTGCTGGCATTAAAGGCGTGCGCCACCAATGCCTGGCTAGACTCCACAGTTCTAACACTGCAAGTATTTGAGCTGGGGACACACAGTGGGGAACTCTGAGATAAACCTTAGTGGGACATCAGGTATGGACTGAAATCCCCCCTCCCCGCACTGTTCATTGGAGAGCCAGAAAGCTGAGGCCCCACAAGGGTTTGTCCCGCTTCCCAAAAGCAGTTCTCCTCAGCACACTGGATCCTGTTTCCTCAATGATAGACACCCCCAGGCTTTCAGGCCTATAAGGGCAGAGACCAGTGTTCACAGAGGCTGGCTGGCCTCTCTAGTCAGACAGCAGATGGCCAGGCTCCAAAACCTCTGACCAGCTCATGGCATTCTCCTTACACAAGAGGGCCACAGGAACAAGAGCCAGGCTCATCTTGCACCATTCCCAGCTCTTGGTCATTGTTCCATCCCTGGTTCCACGATGGTGGCCTGACCAGCTCAGAGACCGGGGATGCCTCTTGAAGGAAAAGGCCATGGGAAGCACGGAATATCATACGGCAGTCCAAGGTAACTAGCAAACAAACTGTGGATGGTCTCACAGGCAATGCCTCCCTCCCTCACAATGAAGCCCAACCTCCCGGTGGCCACATTTCTATATGGGCTTTTAGGAAGGTAGCTGAGATTGATGAAATCAGGAGAGTGGAGCCCTGCTCCGGTAGGACCAGTACCCTCATGAGAAGAGTCTCAAAGCACACGCTCACCAGGTATCTGCTGTCTCTCATGGCCATGTGGGCACACAGCAGGAAGATAGGCATCTGCAAGCCAGGGGAGACCTTCCCAGCACCAGAGCCTCCAGGCCTTCATTCTAGATGTCTACCCTCCCAAACAGTGCATGAGCAAGTGTCTGCCATTAGGCCCTGGCCTGCAGTGGTTACTACAGGTCCTAGGCTGGTAAAGTAGAAGATCGTGACAATATGGTACCTTTACCAAGAAAGGGGAGTGAATAGTGTCAGGGACGGGGATCGTTTCATTTCTGTTTAAAAAAAAAAAATCTTTTCACATTTACTTATTTAGTGTGTACTGTGTATACATGTGGTAGCTGGTTTTCTCCTTCTGGTATATGGGTCCTGGGGATCACACTCAGGTCATCAGGCTTGGAGGCACGCCCTTTTACCTGCTGAGACATCTCACCAGCCCCAAGAGTTGTGTTTCTGATGAGAGCTGCCAGCATTTTTTAAACACAAAGATTTAATCCAAGTTGTCCCTCACTTTCTACCATCAGCTGTGCTAGGAGTTGCCTCAGGGACCAGAGCCTGCAAGAATGTCACTGCTCAGCTGCTGCCTCAAAGCCCCAAAGCCACGCTCCATGGTTTCTCCAGTCTTTCCCCTCCCAACCTCCACCTCACTCCACCTCCTCTGGCCTGCATTATTTCTCCAGTAAATAAGCATGTCAGAGAGCCCGCCACAGTGCCAGTGCCCGTGCCGGGATGGCAGCCAGCATCATTGTTCAAACCGCAGACTGCAAACGGGTAAGTGACTCTGCTCTGCACATATCTGTGCAGTGAGCCATTGGGTGAGTGACGCACTGAGACAGAGATGCTGAGGAGAGACCTGGTGTGGCCTCTTCAGGAAGGGAAGGAGAAGCTGACACAAACCAGCCAGCCTGGTGGGAGAGCATGTCTTCTGGACTCCATTGGTGGCTCCATTGCAGGGAAAACAAAACTACTCAGCCCCTTCCCCTCCCTTACCTTTCACTCTCTCTTGCCCCCTCCTCTCTCTCCACTCTGCCAGACAACAGCTACTCCAAGTAGCCTTGGGAGATGACTCATAAACTCAGTTGGTGCAATTGTGGTCCCCTTGTCTATGATCGGTCTAATTCTGGCCAAGAACATTTTGTGGAGAGATGTCAAAGGAGACAACCCATTCCTATATTTCTACAATGTGAAGTAGAATTGTATAGAAAGATGCAGTGCTGGAACTCTGCAGCCATTTTGGGGCCATGAGGACCTTAAGAAGGGCCCAAGTCCTTGCTGATTATCCAAGCCATTTGCTCACCTAGAAGCAGTGATTTCTAGACTCTTTGTTGGTGAGGTAACTAAAACTTCACTCTTGAAACCAATTTTAGCTAATCCCCTCCTCTGTCCCTGTGGCAAACAAGTGCATCCCAGCCATCTTATGTGATCAAGACAATGCCATCTTACTTTGGAGAATAATTGCAGACAAGATACACGGCATTCTCCCAAATGTCTCCCCAGACGTTCATGCTTCGACAGGTGTGTACAGCACAGCCAACCTTGTTGGTGGTGGCCCAGACCATCTGAAAAGACATCACTGTGTTACTACAGCTCAGGGGCAGGGTTCCCCAGAGCAACTCTGGTATATGGGGCACCAGAGAAGGGTAACCCACTGGGGTAGTGCACATGCCTTTTAAAAACAAGCTATATGCACACAATAGTGAAAGACCTCAGCCATGTAAATTGCCAAAGAGGTTTCCAGAGCATACTCCAAGTTTCTCATCCTGTGAACTCATCCATAGCAAGCAACAGGACCCAACCAGTGTGCTCTGAGAAGCACTGAGTTAGAGCAAAGGCCTCAGGTAGTAAGCACTGCAGCATTCACATTTGCAAACACATTCCCCAGGTCTGAGACACAGGCTAAGTGCCTCACCCCAAATTACCTGTGTGTAGTGGGTGCACATAGCCCCTGAGCAGCGCTCTGGGCACCACGGATTGCACTCGTGGGGGTAGGGGTAGGTGTAGTCCTTCACCTCGTCATACCAGGACTGCACGTGGAACCCAGGAGAGCGGTACCTAGAGGGACAGAAGTGGTGGGTGGTCCACAGGCTCCCAACCCTGCCAGCGCCTGTCTGAAACTGCCCCATCTTGGGTGGCATCCAAGCCACCTGTGTGTACAGGAGAGATTTATATTTGCTAGCTTAATTATGTATTCATTTTCATACACAACAGGTGAAATACAAACAACTCAAGAACCGAAGATTTCAGCCACACTGCAGCCAAGACCACCTTGGTGTAAGATGAGAGGGTGTGCAGGGCAGGCAAGGGGCTGGAGGCCTGTCACCTCAGCTACTGAGGATGTTAAGGTAGGAGGATGTCAAGTTCAAAGCCAGCCTGAGCTACAGAGTGAGTTCACTGGACAATTTCAGTGAGAACTTGACTCAAAAAGTGAGAAAAGGGATGGAGTGTGTGGCTCAGCAATCGTGATTCCATGTGGGAAGCTCCCGAGGGGTGGGGGAAGAGAAAAAAGAAGGGAGGGAAGAAGGAAAGGAAGGAAGGAGGGAAGAATGGAATGAGGAAGAAAGGGAAGGAGGAAGGGAGAAAAGGAAAGAGGAAGGGAGGGAAGGGGGAGGCAGGGAGGGAGGAAGGGAAGAAAGGAGGGAGAGAGGCAGAGAGGGAGGGAGGGAGGGAGGGAGAGAGAGAGAGAGAGAGAGAGAGAGGGGGGGAGA